AATGGAAAAGCTTGTTTCCTTCCTGCATGTTAGAAGCAACCACTTTAATTTGATACTTCAAAATTAAAGCGAAAAACCAAACCACATTCTTTCTCTTAAAGCACCCTGGAAATTAGGACCAGAAATTGCAAATCTAGATTTGGGAACTGTAGTTTTCCTCTCACAGCTCTTACAACTCCCAGCATTCATAGCAAGCAGCAGCTCCCAGGATTCTTTGGGGCAAGCCATGCATTTTTAATGTCCAGTGTGGATGTAGCCATAGTCCAACAATATCTGGGTGAGGTCATGGGTTTCCCATTCCTGAAATACTGAGCTGCTGTCTGCAAGGTAGAACTTGTGACTTGTGACCACTTTAAACTGGCAGCTTGTTCTGCGTACAAAGTGTTTCCATATAATTTAAAATCCTGTGTGACTGAGAAAGACTTCAGCACCCCTTTCCTCCCAGCTCTTCTCAACACTTTCTCCAGAGGGTGTTTGGCAACTGAGTAGAAATCTGTTGGCTTAACGTTACATGTGGTCTAAGTGTAATGTGTAGTTTGGCCCTCAGTAACAATAATAATAATAATAATAATAATAATAATAATAATTTTTATTTATACCCCGCCCTCCCCAGCCAAGGCCGGGCTCAGAGCGGCTTACAAGCAATAATAAAAACAAGTTGAATGATTACAACTTAAAAACAAAAATAAAATACAACATTAAAATATTGAAACATTAAAATATTAAAATGTAGCCTCATCGCAGGAGGAGAAGGAAAAGAAAAAAAGAAAGAAAGGGAGGGAATCAAATTGGCTCCAAGCCAAAGGCCAGGTAGAACAACTCTGTCTTACAGGCCCTGTGGAAAGAAATCAGATCCTGCAGGGCCCTGGTCTCATGAGGCAGAGCGTTCCACCAGGCCAGAGCCAGTTGAATGAACTGTGCCCTAAAGGGGCCTATGCATTTTTAAATGCCCCCCATCCTAGTTCCAACAGCTGTCCCTGCATTCTTCTCGGATGCTTGCCCTAAAGAAAGCACCGGGGTTTTGCTTCCCAGCTGTATTATGAGTGGATTATAACTCCAGGAGCACAGGTGACGCCCACGTTTCTTTTCCATTCGTAATCCTTCCTATGCATGCCAAGAAAATTCCAGCAAGATCTACAAGTTTTATGAGATGTTTTGCAATTTTGAAAAACCACATTTAAGCAGGCCTCTCTCCTCTGCATCCCACACATGGTTCTGGAAAGTTAAAGCTACAAAAGCAACAACAGTTCTGTTTCCACTGAGAAAATGTTCGATCGTTCAAGAGTTTCTGGGGATTAAGGATTCTGTGTCATTTCCCTTCCAGCTTTCGCTGTGGGTAAAGAAACATTCCACCAATTTACAGCTTCCCCCCGTTAATCAGATTGCAAAAACAGACGCCATGGTGGATACAATCGGTCGATGGTCCCCTTCATCGTCTTCATTTTTTAAAAAAAACAAAGATTGGTTCTAAAATTAGATCAGTAGCTTCCTGATGCAACAATAGGCACAAAGAGACATGTGTAGATATTGCAGCGTGGCAAAGCACATCAAATTGTTCTTCCTGAGTATCAATTTGCTGCTTTGCTCCAAAAGAGGCTGGATCACACGAAACCATTTTCTTGAATTAAAGAAGGGCAAAAGCATGGAAGTTATATGCCTCATCACCACCACCCTACAAAATTTATGAACTTAATTGGCTGCCTATTCATTTGTTCTTCAAAGCAATGATTTGACCTTTAAAACCCTAAACGACTTGGGACCAGGTTCATCTGAAATTAGGGCTGCCATACGTCCGGATTTCCCCAGACATTGCTGGGATTTCAAAGGCAGAATTTGGTACATCTGGGGAGAATTTCCAAAAGGCGGTGCTTTTGTCCCACATCTTAGGCAGATCAACTGAGAAACTGTGGGGGTTTGGGGCGTTTTTGTAAAACAACAACAACAAAAAACAGCTTAGCAGCTTTGGGGTTTGTCTAATAAAAGCTCAGTGACTTCCAACTAAGTGTGGTGTAATGGGTAGAGTGCTGAACTATAACAACAGAGACCAGGGGTCGAATCCTCACCCAGCCATGAAGCTCACTGGGAGACCTTGGGCCAGTCACTGCCTCTCAGCCTTATCCATCTCACAGGGTTGTTGTGGGGGATTAAATAAGGAGGGAGGAACCATGCAAACCACTGTGAGCTCCTTGAGGTGAGGACATGGAATATAAAAGTAATGAATGAATGAACAAATCTGGCTAGGAAAATGTTTGCAAATGTTTAAGTCCTTGATAATAACTTATCTATATAGTTATATGTGTAGTATTTTGAAGGTTCTTTATTTACAGCATTTATAACCACCACCACCCCAAGTCCCAAGATCACTTTTTTGTGTTATTGGCTCTGCACAGTTCTTATTTTTGTGCTTGTGGCACAACATTTGTAGTAGTCTCTATCATGGTGTATTGACAGTGGTGGCCTCATATCATCCCTAATTTGAGAGAGTTCCAACTTTATTTCCATCATCTAAGAGCAGGGGTCAGCAACCTTTTTCAGCCGTGGGCCAGTCCACCATCCCTCAGACCATGTGGTGGGCCGGACTATATTTTGAAAAAAAAAATAAATGAACGAATTCCTATGCCCCACAAATAACCCAAAGATGCATTTTAAATAAAAGCACACATTCTTCTCATGTAAAAACACCAGGCAGGCCCCACAAACAACCCAGAGATGCATTTTAAATAAAAGGACACATTCTACTTATGTAAAAACACGCTGATTCCCAGACCTGCCCATGGGCCAGATTTAGAAGGCGATTGGGCCAGATCTGGACCCCAGGTCTTAGGTTGCCAACCCCTGATCTAAGAGTCTCCTAGTCAGGACTTGAATGGCAACAGCACATAAATAATCCTTCAGTGGTCATGACAAACCAGTTCTGGTGCCTTATTTGCCACAGGAAAGCAGGGGCAGGAATAAAGGGATCCTCGCAGTCCTTTGCCTCCCTCTCTTGTAACGGGGGAAGGAAACGATGAAGCCACAGCCAATAATGCCGACACGACGTTAATTATTTGCCGCTAAGAAAACCATTGCCGATGCAGTGCATTTCCTTCCTCTGATTGGCATCCAACACCTATCCAAGTTAAAAATGACGAAATAACAGGGGCACATTTTTTCTCTGGCTCGGTACAGGTCAGTCACGCACAAAATGCTCTGAGGGGAAGGCAATGTTCTGCTTCTGCTGCAAATGAGGAAGTCGAAGCATTGTCGTGTCCTGGCGAGGATGTCTGAAACACAGGAAGCAGAAACCAGCAGAGGTTAAGCATTTAGTCCCACTGAAATCAGCTCGGTAGGCTCTAGTTTGTTTAGAGAGTCTGAGGCGTTTTGAAAGAGGGATCCCTCTGCTCCTGTTTTCCGTCGCCAGACTTAAGTCTGCCGCGTTCCAGCTTGAGCCAAAATCAATTTGTGACGCCTTTTAAGGGGCTGTGAGAACCTTTGATGCATTTGCTATGACGAATTAATGTGGCTACCCTTCTGGAATATACATCGAGCTAGATGTGATGTGGAGCTCAGTTTTTAGCACCCTGATATAGTTTTCATTCTTAAAAATTACCTCAGGGAGGGACAATTCGAATTAGGACGACAGTGTACAGGAGATGGATCTAACCCTTTCCCTCTTTCCCCAAGCCAAATCATACTCACTGCTAGCAGCTTCAAAGGGCACCATAAACAACATAGACTTTTTGTGTTGGCACCTTAAAGATGAGCACCTTTCTTATGGCTGAAGCATCTTTGAGCTAGGCCCTGCTTCATGAGATGCATCCAGTGAGATTTGTGCAGGAAGTTAAAGAGGTTGCAGTACCAGCATTTTTAGCCCATGCCAAATATGGTCTGAAGCTCAACATCAAAAAAAGAAGATCGTGGCCACTGGTCCCATCACCTCCTGGCAAATAGAAGGGGAAGAAATGGAGGCTGTGAGAGATTTTACTTTCTTGGGTTCCATGACCACTGCAGATGGTGACAGCAGTCACGAAATTAAAAGACGCTTGCTTCTTGGGGGAAAAGCAATGACAAACCTAGACAGCATGTTAAAAAGCAGAGACATCACCTTGCCGACAAAGGTCCGTATAATAAAAGCTATGGTTTTCCCAGTAGTGATATATGGAAGTGAGAGCTGGACCATAAAGAAGGCTGATCGCCAAAGTATTGATGCTTTTGAATTATGGTGCTGGAGGAGACTCTTGAGAGTCCCATGGACTGCAAGAAGATCAAACCTATCCATTCTGAAGGAAATCAGCCCTGAGTGCTCACTGGAAGGACAGATTGTGAAGCTGAGGCTCCAATACTTTGGCCACCTCAGGAGAAGAGAAGACTCCCTGGAAAAGACCCTGATGTTGGGAAAGATTGAGGGCACAAGGAGAAGGGGACGACAGAGGATGAGATGGTTGGACAGTGTTCTCGAAGCTACCAACATGAGTTTGACCAAACTGTGGGAGGCAGTGGAAGACAGGAGTGCCTGGCGTGCTCTGGTCCATGGAGTCACGAAGAGTCGGACACGACTAAACGACTAAACAACAAGTTACAGCTTTAGTTCCTTTGTCTTCAAATGGATATGTAACACTATTCTTTTTTTTAATTTGGAGTTTAATTGGGATTTAAATAAAGGACGATAAAGTTTTGTTATCCTTTGTTATCTATTGCATTATCTTTCAGTTAAATGACAATTCTACTTAGCCATTAAGTTGCCTCTTTTCTGAAATTTCCTATATGCTTCCAGAGGAAAAATGTTCAATTGGCTCTTTCCAGAGCACCAGATATAAAAATACCTGTAATGGATTGACAAATACTGAGCCACAACTATTGTAATTTACTGTCAACACTAGCTCTACACCATCCTAGTGGTTAAAACGAAGAGGCTTTGACCCATAATTAACATTATCATGGACTATAGGGTATGATATAGGCATGGGAACCTTGCACCACTTGTGTCCCTTGTTCCAAATGGGCCGCACAGATTTGATAGATTATCGGGTAAGATACCTGTTGAGCTTTGGTTTCTTGTTTTTTGGAACAAAACCTTCAGGAAGTTTAGGTTTATGATTTGGCAGCAAACCTGCTTGATGAGCTAATTTCACACACACTTCAACCTTTCTGTGCTCTTCCATACAGAGGCCTGTAACTCTCCTGGGCAGCATGCTTCCCTCAGAGGTTATGAATTGACTGACCAATAAAACATCCTCATAAGAATACTTGTGCTTTAGGTTCCAGTGACAGATAGGACATTGGCCAGAAGGATTTGGAGTTGTTGGGGCTTCCTCAACTTCCAGCACTTTACCTTCAATAATAGTTGTGTTTCTTTCAGTAGTTTCTACAACCTGCTTCAATCCATGAGATGCGGCGTGAGCCCAGTTTCCCCACAAGAACCCAGACACCAGACACCTGCAGCCAGAGAGCAGCGACATGGACGCAGCCATCTTGGCAGCCCTCTGACGGCTTCCGTTTCATGTAACACTATTCTAAGCAGTTGTACTCAGAAGTTTAAGCCTTGCTGCGTGATCGGGCAGCACTGGGATGGAAATCACTTCCACATAGCTATTCTGATACCCTGAGAATCCTTTCTTTGTCACAGGTCGCAGACTCTCCAAGTGTCCCTATTTTCTAGGGACTCTCCCAGATTTACAAAAAGCCCTTCTGGTTTCTGTTTTGATTCCGGAATGTCCCACTTTTCCTTAGGACACCCCTATTTTCATCGGTTAAATGTTGGAGGGTATAGAGTTATGCAACCCCTGAGCCAAGAAGATAACTGTACAACCTTTAGAAGACATCTGAAGGCAGCCCTGTATACGGAAGTGTTTTGTTTTAACCGTTTACTGTTTTACTATGTTTTTATATATGTTGGAAGCTGCCCAGAGTGTCTGGGGCAACCCAGTCAAATGGCTGGGGTATAAATTATTAGTATGGAATAGGACATCCCTGTTTTCATTGGAGAAATGTTGTAGGGTATTGGGTCACTCATCCCACCTAGTTCTCTTCTTCTACATTGGAACTCTGTGCTCCCCAACCGCTGTCTCAATCCGGAGCTGTGTCATCTGCTGTGGTAATAACAGCAAACTTCAGGAAATAGGAAGGTGCTTGTTCTCATCTCTCAGAGTGTCTGCTCTCCACCAGGAAAGCCCATTCCACAGTTTACAGCACATATTATATTGTTTTGCTTAATGCAACCCATCTGCAAAGAATGGTATTTTTTCACCCGCGGTATCTGGTGCTCTTAGCTGCAGAGCTGAGAATATTTTAGAGCACAACAGGTCCAGGAGGGAGGGAAGGGAAAGGGGAAACAAAACACCAACAGCTTTCTTCACTTATCACCTGTTTGAACTAGCTGTGCGAGTAAAGTGATGTTGAAACAACAGGAAAAACAAAGGCATTAAGATTAGCCTCACATTTTGTACTCTTCGGTGACCTTTTGCTGGGTCTCCTAAGGCTGCATCTAAACTACAAACACAAACCAGTTGCGAACTGGTTTAACTACGTGACTTCCCTCAAGGAAACCAGTGTGCTTTAATTGAAAAGGATGCTGAGAATGACTTGTTTGGGACACTGAATTCATGCCCAAGGGCAAAATGCATTTAGATTTGTAGCACAGACATGAGCTGAAAACCTGACTGCACATGACTTGTGGCTAGCGACAGACAAATCAATCCATTCCGGTTTTCTAATCTTAAATCCTATCCACCCCGTTTCAGCTTCAGCTTGTGCTGATGACGATTATTTATTTTTAAAATCCTGCATGAACACTTGTACCGCTTTTGGAAACAAGTCTCCTAACACTTTTGCACATAATCTTTTTGCTTAATAATCTCCCCCCCCCCACCACCACCTTTTTTTTTTTTTTGCAAGCAATTTCTCCTCCTATAGTACGTTATTGGATGTCAAGGACACTTTTATGAGGGGGGGGAGTAGGTGGGAATGTCTTATGTTTTCTGCTGTCTAATCAGGAGGGTCATGAGTGACAGCCGAGGGACTGACTGCTAATGGGGTGCAGATCCAAAGAAAAAAACATATCCAAAGAAAGAGTTATTTAAAAGGTGAGAAGCAGCACAGATGGGGTCTTTTTTAGATGTAGATGTGGGTTTAGAAGAGGTTTGGCTGTTTGAAGCAGGAGGGAATCAGGAAATGGCTTCTAGTTTTTCCAGCCAAGTGTTGGGGTCTTCAAATTGCAGGCCTTCCGGCTGAAAGCCTGTGTTACACCCATCAGCAGTTATTACATCCTTAGTACCAGCAAAAGATGCAGTTGAACCCTTGTAGATGCATCAGAAAGTCAGTCTGGGTCTTGAATTAGGAACATCAGGGATCAAACGCCTCGCCTCGTGTAGACAGCAACCTTCTTGGTCCTCAGAGACTTCTCCAGACACAGACAAAGGAGCAGGGATATACAAAATCTTTCCCTGCAGTTGACAGGTAGCATTGCACCTCTCTTTGGCCTCATATAAATTCTTTGAAACTGGCATTCTACTTTTAAGCGAACAGCAGACCAGGACCCTCTGTGTCCTGTACTCCAGCTTTTGTCCACTCAAGCCTAGGGGGATCCTGAGCTGCATGTTTTGTAGGTCACATCCGCACCATATATTTAAAGTGCGAGGCTTTGCCCCAAACAAACCTGGGAAAGGTAATTTGTTAAGGTTGGTGGGAACTGGAACTCTGTGAGAGAAAAATCACAGTTCCCACAACTCTCTGTGTCGTCAAATTCTACTCAATAGTGATCCAGAGTAGATTCCAACGTATAGTTAGCAGAGTAAAAACTTAAACACATTGCAGGATTTCCAAAAAACAGACCAGAGGCAATTATATTTCATCCAGCAGAGCTTTACTGCTACTGAAGGCAAATGAGAGTAATGGTCACAAATCTAATACATTCAGGACTGGCACTGTCCATAAGAAATCCAGTTGCAGCAGACTTTAACTTAAACTTACAATTACTTATAGTATAAGTCTAAACCGTAACACTAAGCATACTATGTACAGAACACCATACCAGAAGGAAGAGAGATAGAAAGACAAAGTGAAACCTAGGCTCCTTCTGGCCCTACTTTTATAGTCAGCGTGACCTTGACAGAAAGAGATAAGAGAACCAGTTTAAGCCAGCTTCTCTAAAGGAATAACCCAAATATCATGAAGCTTCTGCTTGTTTCTTTCACACAGAGAAGCTTCCAGAAGCTTCCAGAATCATCTTGAATTAAGTAAAATAGGAAAGATCTCTACACATCACATCAATACTTTCTGTACCAAGAAATGCAAACTGACATTCTGGGGGGAAGCCGTGATTGTTAAAGTGTTATAAATGTGCTTTAAACATACGATGTAGCTGCTACCAGAGTCAGCCGAGGTTGCCCATGTCCCCAACATGACTCTGGGCTCGACCACTTGTCCCGTGCTTAAAAAGCACAGGTCTGAGTGGTTTTCCCCTTGTTCCAATCCTTTGCCATGGAAAACCTGCTCTTTAGTGCTAAATTGGACCAAAAATCAATCCAGAGGAATCCTGAATTGCTGTTTGCTCCAACCAAGCACTAAAGAGCAATTTTCCCAGTGGCGGCAGGGCAGCGGGGACAAGAGGAAGCATGGTTAAGCCATCTGATGCACAGATGGTTAGTTTAGCAGACATTTTTGAAAACAACTGAAGTAATGCCAAGATCTATTTATTTGGAATATGTCCATCTACCTTTTTCGTTAGGGGAAATCAAATCGGGTTCCATTCCAACTTCTGCTCCCACATTAAGTACATTATGTACAAGCTAAATATTAGGAAACACAAGCTGTTTTTCCCCGAGGTGGCCAACTTTTTAATACTATCAAAGCACTTACAGAAGTCCTTCAGGCTTATGGCTTGTGATGTCACATAGCTATTTTTGGTATCTTTCAACTTAACAATGAATGATTCTTTTAGCAGACACTTGAAAGCACTTGAAGAAATCCCCAGATTATTAAAAAATAAAATAATAATCCAGCAGTCTTCTGACCACTGTTTCCACTTTAATAAATCCTGCACAAACTAAATATTAAGAGAAAAGTTTGTAAACCTTTTCTGCCTCTGCCCCCCACCCCCAAGATGGCAGCAAACAATTCCAGGCTATTATTGAAACATTGACAGAATCTCTTCAGCCTTATGATTTGTGATGTCACTGAGCTATTTTTGGTACTGTTCGACTAAACAAGGAATATTCTGTGTAAGCAAAGAGCTATTCTGTGTAAATATTCATTTTAAGGAAGTAAACAACCATGGGCAAGAATAGTTCAAATTGGCTAAGAAGCTTCAACTGTTAAGTTGCTTTCAAAAGAAAAGAACATATGTACTTCGATATTTTTTGTAGTTTTTGTAGTTTTTTTCATTACTATTAAGGAATTTTCCTTTGTAATTTCGGTTGTCTATATTTATATGTACTTGTTTAAAGCAAAATAAAAAAAAAAAATTTTTAAAGAAAAGTAAGTTTCGCCCACCCACCCACCACAGATAATTAGTGGAGTCAGTGATCCCAGAGACAACCCATTTTTTGGAAGCATATGTAGCACACACACAAACCTAGTGAGGCAAATCAGTGTGGGAAAACAGTGTGGAGGGAAAGGATTACTCCTTCTACCAGGGCTGTTTGCCCCTGCTGCTTTTAAAGAAATCAAGACTTCAGTCCTATGTACCCCATGGCCTACTTACTGCATACCCTCCAACATTTCACCAATGAAAACAGGGACATCCTATTCCTCTGGTGTAAACAAAATCTGCCCTTATTCCCTTATAGGGGACACAAGAGCCCTTATAGAGTCCTTTGTAGGTTCTCCATCGGTAGGAGAAAATAACAGAGGCCAAGCAGAGAATATGGAGAAGCAAAGCAGCAAGTAAGCCTGATCTTTATTGAACTGTTGCAACATGGTGCTCCCCTCACACTCAGGAGAAAGGAGGAGGACACAGAACAAAGGTGTGCCTGCCCTTATATAGACATTTTAAATTGCCCGCCCTGGAGTCCAAGACCACCCCCAGAAACATCATACATAGATCACAGAAAAGGCAGTCTACAACAGAAATTTGAATGTTGTTGTTTTTCCTGTCTGCCAGGTTATATGATAATGCCTTATCTGATTGCCTTTTCTGGTAGTCTGGCCATTCCTTTGAGATGGTAATCACTTAGTTCCTGAGACAATGGGAAGGTTGCCTCACCCCCTCCCTCCTTGCAGAGAAACATTTGGTCAGTTTTGGGAGTTTCAGGACTGTTTTCCTGTGCTGCTCCAGACGTGGTTTTTATATTTATGTACGTGTTTGCTTGGTACATTTATGAACATTTATTATATATATGAGACCTAAATCTTAATAATAATAATAATAATAATAATAATAATAATACATTTTATTTATATCCCGCCCTCCCCAGCCGAAGCCGGGCTCAGGGCAGCTAACAACAATAAAATAATACAACATTCTAAAATCATT